GTGTGAAGGCAGACCACAACATAGCTTTGTCATGGTTGCAAATAGTGGGATGGTTTGCGACGGTGTCCTTAAGAATTTGCATCAGTGCAATGGTGATTGGGAGTTTTACACGATTTGGCACGCTGTGATGTCTTTTAATGCCTTGCATAGTGAAGTGAAGCAGGAGGTCGTCGCGTATTGATGAGGTGAAGCCAGCTTCGATGTGTGCACGGATGATAGCTGCGAGGTAAACTTTTAGCGTACCATAGGTAAGTGACGACGTTGCGAGATGTGTCATAAACAGAATCGTTGAGCGTTGCATTAGTGGATAAGGATTCATTCCATACATGCGACACAAGAGAAGATAGCGAGTTTGTCCCGCATGATATGTCCGTCGTGTACCTGGTGCAATGGTCAGGTTGATGTAGTGGCAGGCTTGTTGTGTTAGGTTGACGGGACTACGTCGCACATCGGAGCCGTTAAGAGGGTGCACAGGTCTGGAGTTTTGGTTGGGACCCAACATGAAAGTTATTAGATCATAGATGCTGCAGTAAAGAACAGCAGTCGGACAAGTTCATAATCCGTGGACATGATGAGGAGCCTTTTTTTTCCATATTTGGACGACTGATATGTTATTGCAGTGAAACCGTATTCAAAGACCATACCACAAGTGGCCCCAAAATAAGGAAGATGGTTTTTCGTCGTGGTGGCTAGTGGCAGTGTGGCCTGCAGAGTGGCAAGACGAACAAATGTGGAGACGATTATACCGGCATGGAGTTTCGCAGCGATCTTGATTGAAATTACGGCACGCTGTATTGTTATAATTGTCAGCAGATTCACTCATGTATGAGGATTCCTGCTTCGTTGGCATTCCTGTTTGGTATGACCTTTTTTTATGACAGTCAGGACATGTTGGAATGAGCAGATGGAGTTTTTGTTGACAGAATTTGTAATCAAGTTCAACCAACTAGGCAAACTCCAGTTCCGTAGGCCAGGGTAACGTGAGTAATCTAGACGGAATTCTTTGTCATAGGTGACCCATGTGGCATTTGGTTTTCTTGAGTCAGGGTGTAAATCGGACAAATCAACAAACTTACCCCGGTTTGCTAGTTGATTGAGTATTTGCTGGTCGACGTATGGTAAAAACAAGTCTGCAGGTAGATAACCAGCATAGTATATTCCTCTGTTTAAATAATAATAATACAATTTCCATGTGTAGATAACCACCATAGTATATTCATCTGTTTAAATAGTAATACAATTCCATGTTGATAACCACCCATAGTATATTCATCTGTTTAAATAATAATAATACAATTTCCATGTGTAGATAACCACCATAGTATATTCATCTGTTTAAATAAAAATACAATTCCATGTGTAGATAACGACCCATAGTATATTCATCTGTTTAAATAATAATACAATTTACATGTGTAGATAACCACCATAGTATATTCATCTGTTTAAATAATAATACAATTTACATGTGTAGATAACCACCATAGTATATTCATCTGTTTAAATAATAATACAATTTACATGTGTAGATAACCACCATAGTATATTCATCTGTTTAAATAATAATACAATTTACATGTGTAGATAACCACCATAGTATATTCGTCTGTTTAAATAATAATACAATTTACATATGTAGATAACCAGTTATAGTATATTCATCTGTTTAAATAATAATACAATTCCATGTGTAGATAACCACCCATAGTATATTCATCTGTTTGAATAATAATACAATTTACATGTGTAGATAGCCACCATAGTATATTCATCTGTTTGAATAATAATACAATTTATATGTGTAGATAACCACCCATAGTATATTCATCTGTTTGAATAATAATACAATTTACATGCGTAGATAACCACCAATGGTATATTCATCTGTTTAAATATATTATATGTGTAGATAACCACCCATAGTATATCCATCTGTTTGAATAATAATCTGTTTGAATAATAATACAATTTACATGTGTAGATAACCGCCTATAGTATATTCATCTGTTTGAATAATAATACAATTTACATGCGTAGATAACCACCAATGGTATATTCATCTGTTTAAATATATTATATGTGTAGATAACCACCCATAGTATATCCATCTGTTTGAATAATAATCTGTTTGAATAATAATACAATTTACATGTGTAGATAACCACCTATAGTATATTCATCTGTTTGAATAATAATACAATTTACATGCGTGGATAACCACCAATGGTATATTCATCTGTTTAAATATACTATATGTGTAGATAACCACCCATAGTATATCCATCTGTTTGAATAATAATACAATT